AAATAAATAAAATCATGAATGAAAGAGGCAAGATCACAACTAACACCAAAGAAATACAGACAATTATAAGAACATATTATGAGCAACTCTATGCCAACAAATTTGACAATCTGGAAGAAATGGATACATTCCTAGAGACATATAAACTACCACAACTCAACCAGGAAGAAATAGAAAGCCTGAACAGACCCATAACCAGTAAGGAGATTGAAACGGTCATCAAAAATCTCCAAACAAACAAAAGCCCAGGGCCAGATGGCTTCCCAGGGGAATTCTACCAAACATTTAAAGAAGAACTAATTCCTATTCTCCTGAAACTGTTCCAAAAAATAGAAATGGAAGGAAAACTTCCAAACTCATTTTATGAGGCCAGCATCACCTTGATCCCAAAACCAGACGAGGATCCCATCAAAAAAAGAGAACTACAGACGAATATCCTTGATGAACACAGATGCAAAAATTCTCAGCAAAATACTAGCCAATAGGATCAAACAGTACATTAAAAGGATTATTCACCAAGACCAAGTGGGATTTATTCCAGGGCTGCAAGGTTGGTTCAACATCCGCAAATCAATCAATGTGATAAAACACATAAATAAAAGAAAGAACAAGAACCATATGATACTCTCCATAGATGCTGAAAAAGCATTTGACAAAGTACAGCATCCCTTCCTGATCAAAACTCTTCAAAGTGTAGGGATAGAGGGCACATACCTCAATATTATCAAAGCCATCTATGAAAAACCGATCGCAAATATCATTCTCAATGGAGAAAAACTGAAAGCTTTTCCTCTAAGGTCAGGAACACGGCAGGGATGTCCGTTATCACCACTGCTATTCAACATAGTACTAGAAGTCCTAGCCTCAGCAATCAGACAGCAAAAAGAAATTAAAGGCACCCAAATCGGCAAACAAGGAGTCAAACTATCACTCTTCGCAGATGATATGATATTATATGTGGAAAACCCAAAAGACTCCACTCCAAAACTGCTAGAACTTGTACAGGAATTCAGTAAAGTGTCAGGATATAAAATCAATGCACAGAAATCAGTCGCATTTCTCTACACCAACAACAAGACAGAAGAAAGAGAAATTAAGGAGTCCATCCCATTTACAATTGCACCCAAAACTATAAGATACCTAGGAATAAACCTAACCAAAGAGACTAAGAATCTATACACAGAAAACTCTAAAGTACTCATGAAAGAAATTGAGGAAGACACAAAGAAATGGAAAAATGTTCCATGCTCCTGGATTGGAAGAATAAATATTGTGAAAATGTCTATGCTACCTAAAGCAATCTACACATTTAATGCAATTCCTATCAAAGTACCATCCATTTTTTTCAAGGAAATGGAACAAATAATCCTAAAATTTATATGGAACCAGAAAAGACCTCGAATAGCCAAAGGAATATTGAAAAAGAAAGCCAAAGTTGGTGGCATCACAATACTGGACTTCAAGCTCTATTACAAAGCTGTCATCATCAAGACAGCATGGTACTGGCACAAAAACAAACACATAGATCAATGGAACAGAATAGAGAGCCCAGAAATAGACCCTCAACTCTATGGTCAGCTAATCTTCGACAAAGCAGGAAAGAATGTCCAATGGAAAAAAGACAGCCTCTTCAATAAATGGTGTTGGGAAAATTGGATAGCCACATGCAGAAAAATGAAATTGGATCATTTCCTTACACCACACACGAAAATAGACTCAAAATGGATGAAGGACCTCAATGTGAGAAAGGAATCCATCAAAATCCTTGAGGAGAACACAGGCAGCATCCTCTTTGACCTCTGCCACAGCAACATCTTCCTAGGAACATCGCCAAAGCCAAGAGAAGCAAGGGCAAAAATGAACTATTGGGATTTTATCAAGATCAAAAGCTTTTGCACAGCAAAGGAAACCGTTAACAAAACCAAAAGACAACTGACAGAATGGGAGAAGATATTTGCAAACGACATATCAGATAAAGGGCTAGTGTCCAGAATCTATAAAGAACTTAGCAAACTCAACACCCAAAGAACAAATAACCCAATCAAGAAGTGGGCAGAAGACATGAACAGACATTTCTGCAAAGAAGACATCCAGATGGCCAACAGACACATGAAAAAGTGCTCCACATCACTCGGCATCAGGGAAATACAAATCAAAACCACAATGAGATACCACCTCACACCAGGCAGAATGGCTAAAATTAACAAGTCAGGAAATGACAGATGCTGGCGAGGATGCAGAGAAAGGGGAACCCTCCTCCACTGTTGGTGGGAATGCAAGCTGGTGCAACCACTCTGGAATACAGCATGGAGGTTCCTCAAAATGTTGAAAATAGAACTACCCTATGACCTAGCAATTGCACTACTGGGTATTTACCCTAAAGATACAAACGTAGTGATCCGAAGGGGCACGTGCACCCAAATGTTTATAGCAGCAATGTCTACAATAGCCAAACTATGGAAAGAACCTAGATGTCCATCAACAGACGAATGGATAAAGAAGAAGTGGTATATATACACAATGGAATACTATGCAGCCATCAAAAGAAATGAAATCTTGCCATTTGCGACGACGTGGATGGAACTAGAGGGTATCATGCTTAGCGAAATAAGTCAAACGGAGAAAGACAACTATCATATGATCTCCCTGATATGAGGGAGAGGAGATGCAACATGGGGGGTTAAGGGGGTAGGAGAAGAGTAAATGAAGCAAGATGGGATTGGGAGGGAGATAAACCATAAGTGACTCTTAATCTCACAAAACAAACTGAGGGTTGCTGGGGGGAGGGGTGTTGGGAGAGGGAGGGTGGGGTTATGGACATTGGGGAGGGTATGTGCTATGGTGAGTGCTGTGAAGTGTGTAAACCTGGCGATTCACACACCTGTACCCCTGGGGAAAAAAATATATGTTTATAAAAAATAAAATTAATAAAAAAAAATCCCCATAAAAAAAATTGTTAAGTTATTTGTAATCATTACTCCAATTGTCATATTTTATTCACTTCAAATGTTCCCTTATGGAAAAAATGAAACAACATGGGATCGGGAGGGAGACAAACCATAAGAGACTTAATCTCACAAAACAAACTGAGGGTTGCCATGAGGAGGGGAGTAGGGAGGTGGTTGGGTTATGGACATTGGGGAAGGTATGTATTATGGTGAGTGCTGTGAAGTGTGTAAACCTGGCGATTCACAGACCTGTACCCCTGGGGCTAATAATACATTACATGTAAATAAAAAATAAAAAATTATTTAAGAAGGGAAAAAAAGTTCCCTTATGGATACAAATGTAAGGCAACAAATTAATGTTCTTTCCTAAAAGCTATGTATTTATTACCTCTCCGTCTTTCTCTCTCTCTCTCTCAAATCTTCTCCCTCTATCTCTCTTCCACTCTTTCTTTCTCTCCTCTCTCTCTCTCTCTCTCTCACACACACACACATACACACAGACTTCAATATTCTTTTCACTATAATTAAATTGTATAAGAAAAAAAATCTCAATAGTGTATCTTTTAGACTAGGGAAGATGGATGAGTATTATATAAAATATATTATACTTTATCATCTCCGAAGAAACACTAAAATTAAATGTTCATTGATTCTTTCACTCACATAATTTTGTTAGATTTACAGGTATAACTACTTGTATAAAAGCCAGTCTCATTTTTCTGCATCAATGGATTTAAGGCACTGCTTTCATTATACTTCTAGACTTTGGAAAATAGCAAAAGACTAAAATCCTAAACCATTACTGTCAGAGCAATGCTGCTCTGCAGCAAAGTCTGTCTCTGGTTTCTATAGTGCATCAGTATTCCAGGGTAGGTCCTGACAACAAGCCTATCAGATTATAGACTATGCAACAGAGTTTTTCTCTAACCCACAACAAAAGTCACAAGGAATTTCAAAGGCTCTAGATTAGCGCACAGAGATACAGGGATAACAATATAAGAAGTTTCACTGAAACTTTGAAGCCTAGAAACTTCAATGGTAGGCCTAAAACTGAAGAACACTGAATTGGAAGTTACAGATTACAGGGAGAGTACAGGTTACAAAAAAAGTAAATTTCTGAGAAAAGAAAACAACTCATTTCAGAACAGACTGATAACCATTGAGGTTGAAATGAATCAAGGTATTAATAAGATGCAGCTGGATTTTTAAAATTTGACTCCTTAATGTGATTTCTTAGTTCATCTGTTTCTTATAGGTAAAAGTGATTTATTCATATTTTTATTTTAATAAGAATTTTATAAACAAGAAAACATAGGGCTTTTTGTTTTATTTATTTAATCATTTTACAATTACTATCATTATTATTATTATTATTATTTTAGGTAAGCGCTACACCCAACATGGAGCTTGAACTCACAACTCTTGAGAACAAGAGTCACATGCCCCACTGACTGAGCCAGCCAGGCATCCCTGAGTGATGTTGTTGTTTTTCAAAACATAGGGCTTTTCACTCATCCTTCACAAGATACTATTAGAAATAACATTGTTAAGACTAAACAGTGTAACTGGAATTTGGTGCTTAAATGGAATTATTAGAAGGAAATCTACAGAATCCATTCAATTGACTTTATAGTCCTAAACTTTATAAGGAATGGCAAATTTGATCTAGATTGTCTCTACTGGAAAAGAGATGTTTCCTCTGCCATTCTGGATTAAAAGTAAAATAAGTCAAGCAGAGAGAGTCAATTATCACATGGTTTCAATTACTTGTGGAGTATAAGGAATAATACGGAGACATTGGGAGATGGAGAGGAGAAGTGAGTTGGGGGATATTGGAGGGGGAGACAAACCATGAGAAACTGTGGACTTTGAGAAACAAACTGAGGGCTTTTTTTGAGGGAGGGGGGTTAGGTGAGCCTGGTGGTAGGTATTATGGAGGGCACATATTGCATGGAGTACTGAGGGTGGTGCATAAACAATGAATTCTGGAACACTGAAAAAAAATTAAAATAAAACTTCATTTTTAAAGAATCTTTCCAGGATATTCAGTCTCTATTTTTCATCCTTTTTCCCATGGCCACTCATGAAAGCGAGAGACTCATCTTCCCTTACAAGTGTGACTCCTTCCAAATACTGAACAAGAAGGAACAACAGAACTCAGATAATGAAAATTATCACTTTACATTGCTCACACCATTGAAGGCAGTTTTTCTTTTGCCCTGTAGTAGCTCTGAGAAGCTAAAAACTAACTCTCTAATGTATATTAAAATGTGAAGATGCAACACATACAATAAAAAGTCTAACAGTGAAATGTCTCTCTTGTTCATTTTTTAAAACAACAGATTTTGGGGTGCTTAAGTAGCTGGTTGGTTAAGTACCTGACTCTTGATCTCAGCTCAGGTCTTGATCTCAGGGTCATGAGTTAAAGACTCATGTGGGCTCCGGGCTGGGCTGAAGCCTACTTAAAAAAATAAGTAAATAAAACAGTGGTTCTTCTAGGGCTATGTTACACCTTCCTCTCCTCTTTAGAGAAATCTACACTGATTAACAAGTGCTTCAAAACAAAGTGGCCAAATAATATGGGAGGAAACTCGAAACAATGATCCTAACTCAAGACATAGGACTTCTCATAAAATATTTAATCAAGTTTAATAAAGCAGACATACCTGCTTCGCTTTATTATCAATCGTAATGAGACTAGAATCCATGTATTCACATGACTTCTTACTCTCCTCCCAAGTTTTCTCTTCTTCTGAAAAATAGTAACAGCTTTTTCCACAGCAGTGCCAATTTCCTTGAAATGACGCATAGTCTTCATCTTGAAAACAAAAGCCACCATGATCTTCAACCACAAGACCTCTTAGAGACCTGCACTTTACACATATTTCTGGCTTACTTCAGGCTGAACGACTAAAAATTGGTGGTTTTCCCATTTCCCAAAAGTCTAATGCTGGTAATAGCTCCTTGTCCAAACTGTGGGTCCTGGGACTGTCTCTGACAAACCTCAGACCATCGTTAGAATTGCACTGAGAAATTTTGACTTCACAGGGACAAATAAACTGCAGCCATGTGGAGCAGATATCCTGGCAGGAAAAAATCCGTAAAGTGAATACACAGAGATGATGTTAATTCCAAGAGATCGGTACTGGGGAAAATTCTTCCTTAAGCATTAATTACTCAAATAATCAAATCACATGACTTTGTGAAAGTCAGGAGTTAAATTAGCTATAATAAAGAAAATGGATTTGATTTCAAAAAACCAAGAAAAGAAAAAATAAAAGGGTGAGCAAAATTAAAGGACCTGACAAAGCACAACATGAAGTTTTTAAATTCTGTACTGAAATGGGACAGACTGGATAATGCCATTTAAAAAACTGTAAATTATATGTATTCAGTACATACCTATAATAGGTGGTAAAATTGAGTCATCTTCAACCTCTCCTAAGGAAGCATTTTTTTCTTTTGTGTCATTCTTATTCTGCATCGTGTGTGCAGGACATTTCTGAAAAACTTCAATCCATATTATAAAATTACAGTCGTGAATGCCTTTCATACATCACATTATTATACTTGCTGCTTGCTCTAATTCTAAATGGCATAGCGAATGTTGTTGACTAAAGGAAAGTACAATCAGAAAAAATGGTAGTTTAAAATAGTTTGAAGTATCAAAAATAAAATATTTTTAAATAAAAATTTAACTTGCTATCCATTTTTAAGTATATAAAACTTATAAAACACAAAATATAAAACATGCAAACATATAAATTGGAAAATACAAACTTGAAATAAAACATTAACCAGTTTCTAAGTCATCTACTCTTCAAATAAATATTTCAACATTGGTGAGATTTTGTATTTAGTATTTATTTCGCAACTGACTCTCTACTAGGATAAGCTTATAATTGATTCATTGTATTCACGCAGACCAAGAACTTACGTATTTCTAATATGCAAAAGGAAAGTTAAACAACTCTGACAGAAATAACAATATCTTCCCAAAAGTCACAAATAAAAAAATATAAAAGCATAAAATATACTTCTCTGTAAGTATGTGAATATTAAAAGAAAAATCCTTTAAAGCTTGTTACACAACTGAGAATCTTAATTTCCAATTCTGCTACTACCAACCATCAGTAAGAATGACTGACTCATCATGTTAAGCTTTATTTTTTTTAAGATGTTATTTATTTATTTGATAGAGAGAGAGAGAGACAATGAGAAAGTAAACACAAGCAGGGGGAGTAGGAGGGGGAGAAGCAGGCTTCCTGCAGAACAGGGATCCTAACATGGGGCTCAATCCCAGGAAGCTGGGATCATGACCTGAGCCTAAGGTACACGTATTAACAACTGAGCCACCCAAGTGCCCCTCATGTTCAGTTTTGGAAGCTAATACCAAACAGAGTTGTATCCATTTGTAGTCCCTTTACAATGTGTGAGATCATGTAGATCCACATACTTTCAAAACTTCGTAAAGTTTCTGTTTTGCCATAATTAAAAAAATAATTTTCTGTATTCATTGTCCCTGCTTCCTAATGTTTGAAGTTTTAGCCACTGCAATCAGGCTTTGATGATACCCACCGTTCAACTGAATCTACTCTAGCAAATGTCTTTAGTGACCTCTCTCTTGCCCAATTTAGTAAGCATACTGTTGGCCATTATTTTACTTGATCTTCTGATACCATTTGGAACCCATGACTATCTTTACCCTACTTCCATATGATGCCATAATGTTTTGGATTCCCTCCTACTTCTTTAACCAAAGCATCACTGTTTTTCACCGTTTACCCATCTTCCACCTATTCTAAATGTTAATTTTCCTAAGAATCATCCTCCTCGCCCTTTTCCTTCTAGAAAATCTATTCTCTCTAGTTTGATAAGGTAAAGCATGGTCTAGCTTCTGCTTTCCTCTATTATGTTTACCAATACTTGTTACATTAATTGATGAAAGCCCAATTTATATCTTTAATCTAGGTATCGCTCTTGATCTCCAGACTTTTAATCCTACCATATGCATGCTGATGGTCTGCCACGACTATCAAATGCTCACTCCAAGAGACTCAACCAATCTAATTCTTTCTGGTCATCACCACTGATACGCCACAACTCTTCACTTCTCACCATTATTCACACACACACACACTTGATAGCCTAATGTTTTCCGTAACATGTAGTGAAATATATTTGCCAAAGTATATAGCCTGATGTCAAATGGTGCCACTAATTCATTTCTCTCCCTCACACATACCCTAACAATTCTACGTTGTAAATATTTCTCATAAACGGTCCCAATGCCTCATCACTTCTTTTAAGACACTAATTCAGTCATTCTAACTAACCCTAATTCCTGAAATATCATCCTGTCTTGTCCCCCCACCCACTTTCCAGTCTATTCAAATTTACTTTTCCCAAATCTCTCTATGTTCATGGGACATGAATCCTGTTTTCCCTCTGTAATATCTTCCCAAAGTTCCTTTTCGTACATAGTTCCTGAGCCAAAATTGTGTTGAATGAATGAACCAAAGATTTAATTAAAATCAAGGAAAAGATATTAAAAGCAGGTGTTGTATAGATATTGTACAAATTGACATGCAATAGGGACTCCTGGGTGGCTCAGTAGGTTAAACTTCTCCCTTCAGTTCAGGTCATGATTCCAGGATCCTGGGATCAAGCCCTGTAACAGGGTCTCCAGGCTCAGCGGGAAGCCTGCTTCTTCCTCTCCCTCTGCCTGCTGCTCCCCCTACTTGTACTCCCTCTCTCTCTATGTTAAATAAACAAAATCTTTTTAAAAAGGAACTCATATGAAATATATAAGTGATATAGAAAATAGATCAACCTTTATTCCTCTGTGATTTAAGCAGTATCACAGTATGATAAGGAATATAATATTCAAGTAAAGATTTTTTCCAATTCTTTGATTATATAGAAAACCTCCTTCTACACAAAATAAAAGGATGGATATATATGTAAGCTTCACTATACATTTCAGCCAAATTCTCTGCTATATTATGTACCCTCTTTTGTGTGGCACAAAAACTGACAGCCAAATAAAATCATCATCATCAATATTATCATCAACACCATTAGTAACATCTGTATAGGACTTTATGATTGACACGGGCTCTGCAGTAATCCAGTAGTTATAACATTTCATTTATCACTCTGGCTAGTCGCTCTCATAAGAACTGTGTATGTCTGATACTCACATATAGATCTTAAGCCTGTGATTGCCAGCAGGAGGATAACACACATAACTCCCAGGGATAAAGCAACAATATGCCATGGAAATTCTGTACAAATCAGAAATCAAAATATATAGTAAGCATTGAGCATAACAAAACCCCCAGAATTAGAAGGAAATGGAAATTCATTTTGGAACTAAAATTAATGTCGCTATTCACTGTGACAATAAAACTCATTGAATATGACATTTAAATATCCCTATTAATATATAAAAAAACAGACATAAAATATCAAATAAGCATAGACATGGTTATTATGATTGCACTTTTTCTTATTTGACATCATAATGTTTTCAGAAAACAAAATAAACTGAAAAACCTTTACCTCTTTTTTTATTCCTTGGACGTCTTTTGCCCTTCTGTTTCCTTGAATTGGGTAAATTCAGCTCTGCATATGTCACTCTCTCCTCACTCATTTTTGAGGGCTGCAGCAAAGAACACAGCTCAAGTCCTATGCAATGTTTCATAAGGCATGAAAATAACATTATTTATCATGATGTAAAAGCGACAGCTAAACAAATGACAAGCATGAGCATCTGAAATAAACAAGTTAAAGTAAATATGTATCTGGAACTGTTAGGGAATTTCTTTTTTTACATTTCTCTTTGTAATGACTTAAACAGAGATTCTACACTATTAAATAATGGTCCACTACTGCTTATGGGCATGTTATGTTTCACTATTTTTTAATTTGCCAAATTTAAAAATGTATGTATTCCATACTCACCTAAAAATCTGACTTATTGAAAAATAATGTCTGGTCACTTAATGTCTGTTTTATGTCCAAGTGGCAACTTTATTGACACAAAATACAGTAACTCCCTCTTTAGTAAAGACACGCACATCCCAGTTTGACAAACTCCGCATCTGCCACATGGCTTATGTCAGACCTCACTCATTCATCTACATTATCGCTTGAACTTTATAATCACATGGTCATGACCCTGTTTTCAGAGTGTAAGGAAAATGCAGAAATCATGGGGTCCAAGGAAAGGGAGTTATAGAAGTAACATTACATGAGGAAGGCATAACTTGTAACTCTAACAGCAGTGCAACACAGTGGTCCTTTCTATTTGTAGATGAGGAACACTGAGGCTCCAAGAACATAAACAGCACTCCCAAGGTCAGACAGCAAGTAAAAAGTAAAGTCTTTAATTAAAATAAATATAAATCTGGGGTGCCTCGGTGGCTCAGAGGGTTAAGCCTCTGCCTTCGGCTCAGGTCATGATCCCAGGGTCCTGGGATAGAGCCCTGCATCTGGCTCTCTGCTCAGCAGGGACCCTGCTTCCACCTCTCTCTCTGCCTGCCTCTCTGCCTGCTTGTGATTTCTGTCTGTCAAATAAATAAATAAAAATCTTTAAATAAAAAAAATAAAATAAAATAAATATAAATCTTATAAATTTATAGTAAATAAATAGGTATAAAATACATTAAATGTAGTCTGGTTCAGATAAATAAATAAATTATTAAAATATTATACTTAAATGTGATTTATATAAATACGTATTTAGTTCAAGTGTGTATATTAAATATAGCTAATTTATATTTATCTGAGTATATGATCCTTCACCTACACATAACTCATATGAACAATACCTTCCAAAGGATACCTAATAAATTCTCTCCTGTAGAATTAAAAAAATACATATATATAGTGATTAAAGTGCAGAAAGTATTTGTCCCAAAAGAATATTTTTGGTAAGTGTAGAAAGAACTAAATAACTGTTCTTAAACAGATTTGAAACTCAGATTTTTAAAATATCTTAATATTTCACCATTCAGTTACTTTAGAATGTCAGGAAACATGATTTGAACAATTACCAAATATTGATAAAATTTATAAACACACTGCCATTTTGTTTTCAATAAATACTCTCTCTACCAAAGTGCCAAATTATAAGCTAAATTTTGTGTTAAGGTCATATGTTCTTCCCTAATTGGATTTCCTTAGTTGTATTTTAATTGAATGTCTGTATAACAAAATAATAAGAAAATAAATTTGCAAATATAAACCTGGATTTATTTTGATAAAATAATCATGTTATCAAAGCATCAAACATTTTTAATTACACTTAACTGAAAGATGAAAGAACTTAACCATTGGATAATTTATTGCTAACCAGTTAAGTAATATCTTGAGAGATAAGGGGAGAACACATTTTATATTGTCTAAAAAAGAATTAAATCATTCTTAAAGCATCTAAGAATTTAAAAATATCATATTCTGCCTAGGAAATATTTTGACCCACTCTCATTCTGATCCATTCCTGTCTTCACTTGTAGAATACAGTTAACATTACATATGAATTAACGTGGATCCCAAAGTCAATTGTTTCCTGCAACATTCCAAAACCCTCCCAACTTCACACATAGCTTTCCTGTAGCAGATTCTACTTTATCCCTCTTTGCTCCACAATGGGACAGCACAGGCATGGGGCACACAAGCTCTCTGGCTGCAATACCTGCTTCCGGGACTTGGGATCTCACCAGCCGGACAAATTGGTCAGGAACACAGCTGCGATGTCCTGGCTCTGCGGGTCTTTCACCTCTGCTTTGATCTAGGAGGTACCTGCTGATATGATTCACTGACTCTCAGAAAGACCATGTCAGAGGAAAAATAGCCAATGATCTCGTGACATTAGATATCCCCTCACACAGTTTCCACTGGTGTCAGTATCTCATTAACTCCTGTACTCTACCCTGTGTCAGACAAAACTCATAGAAAACTCAAATGCTAAATCTTATACATATTTTCTGGATCAGTTTAAACCTGGGATTTAGTAGATACCTTGAAGATTGGGGGGTGGGGGGCATGGCATTCTCAAAATCTCATGAGATTAGGAAATAATTAACAATAAAATTTAAAAATTATGAAAATAAAAAATGAAATATCTGTATTCTACCTGACATGATTCATATGCTTTCATTTAATGGAATGAAAGTAAGTTCCCACTTGTTACATACCTATAGTAAAAACAGAGACTGTCAAAATATGTTCAAATTTTAGATCCTATTTTTAACAAACATCCTAAGGATAGCCAGATTGCTTAATATATTACAGTAAATCTCAATACCTAAAATCTGAGATATGAATGATTTTAAGAATATCACATTTCTTCTTATCTCCTGTGATTTCTTTAAGTTGCCTGAAAAAGCCAACTCTTCAAAAAATGAAATGAAGACACAAATATAGAGAAATATTTAAAGTATTGAATAAGTCTATATGCAGTCCTTTTAATGCATCAAACTCAAATTCATCTGTCCCAGTAGTTGAAGCAAAAACTATCAGAGCATTTTTTAAAAGAGATTATTTAATTCAGTGACCAGCTCTATGCCCTATTTAACCCTAGAAGTCAGAGTTAGGCAGGAACAAAAGATGTTTTGTTTTATTTTTTCATATGAACCACAATGATCTGTGCACCACAAGGGTCCCAATGCTCTGATGTTTCAAAATCCTTGGAATTGTGTAGTAATAACAATGGAAATCCACCTCTATGCCAGCTACACCAGGTAAAGTCTATTCAAAAGCACTCTCCCCATGGTTTGAGCTTTCTTTTCCATCACTCTCAAATACAAATGTCTTAGCCTCCTCTAAATAATGATAGTAGCACTTATGAAAGTCTCTAGCTCTTTCTCTTGTCAGTTTGCCTTTTTCACATACAGTTTCTTTGCTAAGATCTAACTAACAGTTTTCAGGAAGTAGGTTTCTGACATGAAGAAAGAAAGCAGTCTGCAAATTCTCCATGCAACAGGGCTTTCTCTTAAAGGCAAACATGGTCTGTAGGCATGCCTGTGAACTGAGATCTTCCCGGTCCCAGTGTAATTACTCTGCATGGCAGCTGCACATCTCTGTCTATGCCTTGTGTCAAATCAAAAAATATGTCATTTAGCAGAAATATATTTGATTACACTTTTATGCTACTAAATGCTATATACCTTAAACCACCAAACTGACTGTGAATGTGTGTTTTGGAGGGTGAACAGTATGACTTCTAAACTCTCAGTGCAGTGCTGACTTCTGGGGTGTGGGGCATGAAGACCTGACTGTAGTTTACCCTTGTCTGCTTCTGAAGCAGCAGCTGAGTGAAGTGACTGACTTTGGAAGTCCAGCCTCTTCAGCAGCATCCAGAACACCTCCCATGCAAATGAGTCTGCTGGAGACTGAGCCTTAGGATCAGAGCCCATTAGGTGGTATATGTTAGGGACCAAGTAGAAAATTGACTAAAAGTTTGCATGCATTCACAGGAATGCATTGTCTCTGATCTGAAAGTTGTATAGATTATGTTTATCATTGTTTAATATTAATAGATCAGCTGGTACATATGTATCCCTAAAAATTTGGGACAAGCCACCAATGAAAAGGATTTACTAGCAATTTTAGTTGTTAGGGCTTTTTAAATAAGATGCCAGGTGTGTTATAACTAAAATAGATATAATAAGTCTAAAACCAGCAAATTATATAACTTTAAATATTTTATCAACAATATCTACAAGAAGTAAAAAATAAAGCACCATTATCAGAGTATGGGTGTTTGACTATGTTTTTTAAAATTTACTTTTGATTTTCTAAATAATTTGAAGAATGAGTCTATTATTAGCCAATCCGTTTTAAGGACATTATCCCCAAAGGACTTCTGTCCTTAAAACACCCACACACTTTTGTAATTGATATCAATGTATTTTTAGTCCATCTTAAAATATTTGTTATACCTCTCTTCTACCTCAACTTTCATTTATCCTGTAAGGTTTCACTAAAATATCAGCCGTGTTCACTATTTTTACATTCACCAAACTTGGTCTTTGTCAAAGAAAAGTAAAAACTATAATGACATTGAGGGAAAAAGCTGTAAGGTGAAGAAACCAAGATCTAACCCCAAAATGAAATAACTGTAAATAAGAGGGAGGGAGAGAGATGTTCATGCTAACATCCATAAACAGAACAAACCAGAATGATAGCAGGATCTAATAAACTTGTATGAAATTTATAATAAAGCAGGTAGAGTGCATGAAATACTGAAATAATATTCCAAAAACAAAGGTCCATGAGAAAACAGGTTTTCATTTTTATTTTTCATGTACTTCTTATATACTACTTTCATTTATATGCTTTTTTATCATAAAATTGGTAAAAGTTGAGTGTGAAGAAATCGTGAGTCCAAAATTCATGGTTATATTACAAGGCAAGGAAAAGGGAAAAGTGATATAATTTGACCATAAGTAGGAGGAGTTTGTGTAAACAGAAATGAAAATGATGAAGGGAAACAGTTTGCTTTACTTGTCACCCTTAATATTGTGTAATTTTGGCTCAATAACACACATTGGTACAATAAATCTCAAATTATTTTGGAGGATTCAGGTTACACTCTTGCCTTTAGTAGTTAAAGACTCAGGCCTTGATTTGCCTTCTCCAGGTGCTGCTTCTCTTGGCATTTTTGTTAACTTAGTTTCAAGAAGATTCTTTAGTTTAGTAAAGCTGCCAGCAGAAACAGCACTATCATTTTTAAAAAAAGGTTGTTTCCTCTCATACTTTCCATTTTTGCTGTGCTCCTGTCTAGAATTACGTATAATAGCTGTTTTTACAGGAAATGTCAAAATAGACTCTTGTTTTCCAGTCACCTATTTTAATGCCCTTTTGGTAGAGGCAGTAAGGCAAAAGAGACCTTTCTAAATATTCAATTTATCTAAAAATATGAAAGGGACTGAGTCATTTTCAATTGAGACTTAAATCAGAAGTTAGATGGTCTGGCCAGGGCTGGGGAGCTAAGACAGTGGCATTAGTAGGAGGACCCCAGGCTCCTCTCCTCTCTCGAACACAACCAGATAACTATCCAATCATTCTGAAACCCAAGAAATTGGCCTGAGGACTGACAGATCAAACTCCACAACTAGAGGGAGACAGGAAGCCACAGCAAGGAAGGTAGGAAGGGATGGGACCTAGTTTGGGAGAAAATGATTCAGGGTGGTGCAGAGAGCTGGGAGCCTGATCACAGAGACATGTGAGAGACAGACGCACACAGGGGAACTCCCAAGGAGAACAGTTCCCCAAAGCCATTGACAGGGAAAACAAGAGGGGGTGGATTTCATGAGTTTTTACTACTCGTGGGACTTAAAGCCTGGGGTTTTAGAGGTCAGTGGGCTTGGCTGGGTTAGAGCCCTGAGTGCACTGCCCAATTCCTGGGGAGAAGGCGGGCAAACAACCTGGGGCAGATGGCACAATCTGAGGCTTGCCTAAGGTGCATGGGGAGAGACTGTTCCCTCACGGTGTGTATCTGTGAGAGGTGATGTTTGCAGACTCACCTCTCCACTGAAAAGGAACCAATAGATGTTATTTCCCTCCCTGCCCCTCACGATAGGCACAAGGACAGCTGCTTAGGGTGGCTCACTCCTACCCTGACTGCCTAGCCTGTTTTTTTCCAAGTCCTTCTCCACTGTGCTCAGGTACAACAGCCCTTCTCAGTCAAACCTCCCTCAGTCCCGGCACTGGAAGACTCACTCCCAGAAGACCAGCACAGGCCACTTCACACATCAGACCACAAAATCCTACAGTTTTAAACCTCAGCAGCCTTTGCTGGGATAGAGCCTAGAGGGCACTGCTTTCCTCCCAGAGAGAAGACAGGCAAAGAATCTGGAGAAAAACAGCTTCAAAACTATGATCTGAAAAATGCCTGGGGCATACAGGAGGAATTTATTCATTCTGCTCAGAGTGCTTCCTTGAGTGCAGCAAGCATGGAGACCCTTCTCCAGGGACGAAGGAGCTAACTGCCATCATTGCACAGCCAGTTGGAGCACAGCTCCAACACTGCCCAACCAGCTTACACATATCCCACACTCCTGCATTCAAGGATTACTGCCCTTATTGGCCTAGTTTGCCCCAGTCCCAATCCAGTGTCCAAACCATATCTCCCAACCAGAGAGCTCTGCATAGCTTCAGTTCTAGTGGAAGTATCATCTGGTCTCATTTAACAAACTCAAAAGAACACACCTACTTACAACTACCCAGACTGTGGCCAAGGACCAAACACTGTCCACAACCAAAGGGAAGAGCCTCTTCTTTCCTCTCAGGAGCAGAAAACATAACAGGCTTTCCTAAACACAGAAGAGAGAGATTTAGAAAAAAATTAATTCCAAGACGAAGGAATTCATCCCAAATGAAATGACACAATAAGGTCAGGCCAGATATTTAAGTGTAATAGATATAAGTAGCGTGCCTAATGGAGAATTTAAATAATCATGAGGATACTTGCTGGGTTTGAGAAAAGACTAGAAGACTGCAGGAAGGCCCTTACTGCAGTGATGAAAGAATTAAAATAAGGAAGTAAAATAATAAAGATTAGAGCAGAAATAAATGATATAGAGACTAAAATAATAGAACAGAATACTGAAACCAGGAATTGGCTCTTTGAAAAAACTAATAAAATTGGTAAACCTCTAGCCAGACTTATGAAAAAGAAAAGAGAAAGGAACCAAAAAAATAGTCAACAAGTAAGAGAGGAGAACATCAACACCACAGAAAAACAATTATAAGAGAATGTTACAGAAAACAACATGCCAACAAATTGGACAATCTGAAAGAAATGGACAAACACCTAGAAATATGTAAACTACCAAAACTGAAACAGGATGAAGTAGAAAACATGAGCAGATGGATACCCAGCAAAGAAACCGATTCAGTAATCAAAAATCTCCCAACAAACTAATGTCCAGGGCCAAATGGCTTCCCAGGTCAATTCTACCAAACATTTAAAAAAAATGACTTAATCCCCATTCTTCCAACTATTCCTAAAAATACAAGTGGAAGGAAAATGTCCAAATTCATTCAATAAGGCCAGCATTACCCTGATTACAAACCAGACAAAGACTCCACTAAAATTTAGAACTCCACAACAATATCCCTGATAAACAGGGATGCAAAATTCTCAATAAAATACATGGCAAATTGAATCCAACAGTACATTATAAAAATGACTCACCACAATCACGTGGAATGTATTCCTGGGCTGCAAGGATGATTCATATTAATAAAAGAAAGGATATGAACCATATGATCCTTTCAACAGATGCAGAAAGAGCCTTTGATAAAGTATAACATCTATTCATGATAAAAACTCTGAACAAAGTAAGGATAGAGGGAACATACCTCAACATCATGAAGGCCACATATGAAAGACCCACAGTTAATATCATCTTCAATGAGTAAAACTGAGAGATTTTCCTCTATGGTCATGAAAAAGACAGGGATGTCCACTCTCACCACTGTTACCTAACATAGTGCTGGAAATCCTAGCCACAGCCACCGGACAACAAAAAAGAAAAGACATCCAAATTGGCAAGAAAGAACTCAAACTTTCACTCTTTGCAGATGACATGGTACTCTATACAGAAAACCTGAAAGACTCCACCAAAAAATTACTAGATTTTGACAGGAGCTCAAATTGATACATAAATTCAATATAATTGCAGAATACAAAATCAACACACAGAAATACTTTGTATTGTACACAAATAATGAAGAAGCAAAAAGAGAAATCAAGGAATCAATCTCATTTACAATTGTACCAAAATCCAAAAGATACCTAGAAATAAACTTAACCAAAGAGGTGCAAGATCTGTACTGTGAAAACAATAAAACACTGATGAAAGACATTGAAAATGTTGCAAAGAAATGGAAAGATATTTCATGCTCAATTATTGAAAGAACAAATGTTGTTAAAATGTCTATATTTCCCAAAGCAACCTACACATTTAATGCAATCCCTATCAAAATACCAATGACATTTTTCACAGAGCTAAAACAAGCAATCCTAAATTTTTTATGGGACCACAAAAGACCTAAATAGTCAAAGCAACCAAGAAAAAGAAAAACAAAGCTGGAGGCATCACAATTCCAGACTTCAAGTTATATTACATGTTGTAGCCATGAATACAACATGGTACCAGCACACAATAGACTAATAGATCAATGAATTAAAAGAGAAAACCCAGAAATGAATGCACAACTATACAGTCAATTAATCATTGGCAAAGCACGAAAGAATATCCAATGGAAAAAAGACAGTTTCTTCAATAATATTGCTGGGAAAACTAGACAACAACATGAAAAAGAATAATACTGGATCACTTTCTTACATCATACACCAAAATTGTATCCAAAACAGATGAAAGACCTTATTGTGACACAGGAAACCATCAAAATCCTAGAGGAGAACACAGTCAGTAACCTCCTTGACATGGGCCAAGAAACTTTTTACTAGGTATGTCTCCTGAGGCAATGGACCAAAGAAAAACAAACTCTTTGGACTTCATCAAAATAAAACCTTCTGCATAGCAAAGGAAACAGTCAACAAAACTAACAGGCAACCTACAGAATATGAGAAGATATTTTTAAAATGACATATCTGATAAAGGGTTAGTATCCAAAATATATAAACAACTTCTAAAACTCAACACCAAAAAAACAATTAATCCACTTAAAAATGAACAGAAGCCATGAATAGACATTTTCCACAGAAGATATAAAGATGGCCAACAGACACATGAAAAAGATGTTCAACATCACTCATTCAGGGAAACACAAATCAAAACTACAATGAGATATCCCCTCACACCAGTCGCAATGGCTAAAATGAGCAACACAAGGAGCACAGATATTGTGAGAGAAAGGGAAACCCTCTTATACTCTTGGTGAGAAAGCAGACTGGTGCAGCCACTCTGGAAAACAGTATGGAGATTCCTCAAAAGGTTAAAAATAGAACAACCTTATGATCCAGCAATTGCACTACTAGGTGTTTATTTAAAGGATACAAAAATACTAATTTGAAGGGATATATGTAACCCAGTGTTTATAGCAGCTGTATAAACAATGGCCAAATTGTGGCAAAAGCCCAGATGACCATTGACTGATGAATAAATAAAGATGTAACACACACACACACACACACACCACAAACACTGGAATTTACTCAGCCATAAAATAGTTTGAAATCTTGCCATATGCAGTGACATGCATGGAGCTACAGGGTATCAGACTAAGATATAAGTCAGAGAAAGTGAAACACCATATGTTTTCACTCACAGTGGAATTTATGAAACAAAACAAATGAACAACTTGGGGGCAAAAAGAGAAGCAAATCAAGAACAGACTCTCAATAATAGAGAAAAAACTGATGTATACCAAGGGGGAGGCTGTCAGGGGATGGGTCAGATAGGTGATGGATATTAAGGAGAGGACTTGTATTGAGCACTGGGTGTTATATGTAAGTGATGAAACACTAAATTGTATTCCTGAAACTAATATTACACTATAAGTTAACTCACTCAAATGTAGATAAAAAGTTGGAATAACGAATAAGCAAAAAACAAACTGCTGACCCACTCAGGCATGGAAGAAAAATACTTAAGTGGTGGCTGGTAGAAAACAAGCTCCCCCATTTCAGAAGCAAGTTACAGGTAAGCAACAAAGGAAGGTGAGAGTGAATCCTGGCCACTAGCTCAGAATCAGAGCCATCAGTATGTACTCATGTTTTGCTTAGTATACGTACAAACAGTTGACACATAAACAAATATGCATATATGTGTGTATACATGGGTTAGTATATCATGTAGCTCTGTCCACTTAAACAACATAGAAGCAATGAAACCCCACAAGTGGGACACAGACCCAGCACCAGATAGTGGTTTCTAAATACTGTTCACCAGTGAGAGGAGCTAGAGCTCCTTGGAGAAAGAACTAGAACTCCAGGAGGAATCCTGATTCTAAGGATGAAGGCAGAGGAAATACAAAGTAAGCTCAGACCATCTTATAAGTCTAGACAGTTAAAAAAGAGCTCAAAAAATATACAGACTGGGGCACGTCAAAGGCACCCAGCAGCTAACCTGAAAAACCTCCCAATGGCCAAAACTGGAACAATTTACAAGAAAATAAACAAAGCAGTATTTGATCATACCTGAAATATAAAATTAATATCAATGAGCCTATGCTATTATAAATGATTTAATAACTGGAGGGAAATAAATGGGAGAGGGAAAGACAACTCTTTACAGAAAAATTACAACTACTCCCTTTCCAGGAGGTTTAATGCCACGTAGAGTGGTCAGGATTTGATGACTTTGTACAAAGAACACAGAATGGAAAGCAGAAAATGGTAACTTCACAGTGGGCATGCCTGAAAAACACTAAATTAACCAAGCGATAAAGTTAATATCCCAGTAATGTCATGTGGAGAACATGTATCCCTGATGAGGTTTGATGATTAGGGTAATTCACCTTTGTAGCAGCTTTTCTAGAAACCTGTAACTCCAGTCCAAGCCTGAGAAAAATATGAAAGGAATGAAAATTGAGAGGCATTTTACATAAAAATGGACCACAAGAAAAGCCAGAAAGTGTCACAGAACAAAGGAAAAGCAATGACTAATGTCATTGTATCCTGAACTGAAACTTAATAAAAAAAAGGGAAGGAAAGGGAATAGAAGGGAAGGCAGAAAAGAGGAATGGAGAAGTGATGAAATTTAATACAATCTGGAGATTCTTTATCATAATGTAACGTATCAATGTTCTGTAGTTGGAGTTCTGATTGTGGAAACAAGAGAATTACATTAAAGGAAAAGAGATAAGCACTATAAGTAAACTCTGTATTGCATTTACCACTTTTCTGTAAAGCTAAATTTGTTCTAAAATAATTTATTTTTTTTTTAATTACATTTAAAAAATGCTCCTGTGAAACAACATGTAACACTTAGCCCTATTATTCACTGGAAGAAAACAGAAGATATAAAATCTGTCACTAATTTTGCAAAAAATCATGACCAAGATCTTTCTGTTGCCCAATATTTAAATGTTTTATTGAGTCTTATTGTCTTGTTAAAATTTTGTTTTAACCCTACTTACATAGTAAAAGTATTTCTTTCTTCTAAAAGCAAAATATTTGTTGCTAATGGTTGTAACCATTTAGCTCATATTCAAATACCAAATGAGAAAGAAATGAAAAGAAACCTGTACTAGATTTAGTGTATAAGTGCAGTCAGAAATATAAAACTGATTATTTCTGATTCTCAA